TCAGCTTTAACTTTGGCAGCCCGACCTTCCCTTCCGGCTCCTCGGGGTTTCATGAAAGGAGTCAGTGGGGAGTTCTCTTCATTCACGCTGTGCTTATACTTTTAAATTATAAAGTGTGTCAAATGAGGATTTAATTTATAGTTAACAAGACAACGTTTGTAAATTAATTATTCATCATCTGATAACGAATAAACATTTCCCCTGTTCTTCCCCCACCCCTCCTCCCTTCTTCCCAGGGTTTCACGAATGCATCATACATGCAAATCTATTAAATCTATTCTGCAATACTCTAGACACGGAAAAATATGTTCTTCATCCTCAATTTCGTTAGCGTGTTGCATGGTAACTACTGCAGCCAGGCACAGCATTATGAATTTAATCGTGCGTAGCTTCTCCTTCCTAAAGAGGGGAGGGAGAGAATATTCAACACGTGCATTTGGACATATCAACCTCCTCGGGTACCAGTCTCCCCCTCAGTGGGGGAGGTAAGAAAATAATTTGCTGCAATAGTGGAGGCAGGAGCTCAGTGCTACCCCATGGAAATCGCACGCACTTCAGAAGCAGCAGAACCTGGCAATCCTGGTGAATGGCAGAGCACTGTTTTGCTCTTTTTGTCTTTGGTATCATTAAGACCAATGTGGTCTTTTATCAAATTTGGCTACAGAATCGCACACACAGGGGCATCTTCTCTGCTTTTAACACCCTTACATGCACCACAGAGGAGTCTCTCCAGCACAGAACTAACTCTACCTTCACTACCTCTAAGCCTGAGCACCTGAAGACACCAAGGCAAGCCCCTGGCTGAGCAGCACATGTCCTTCCACTTGATCAGGAGGCTGCTGCAGTGCACCATGTTCTCTACCTAAAGTCCTTGAGCCTCACACTTGGTTTTGCTCAAGAAAAAAAGTACATTGTAACTCAGACCTCTGGGAGGAACTGGAGAGCAGGAATTTCTCCATTGTCAAGCTGGGAACAGAAGCAGTTTTTTAGTCCCACTCATGCTGACCCTCACAGACACTTCATGGGCTTCCTCAGGACTGAAAGGCACTCAGCTCCGACCTTTTTCAAATGCTTTATTTCTACAGAACCATTTCCTGAGCGTTAAGCATCCCTAAAGGAAGGCGATTCAGAGCTCTAGGTGCCCTTGACACCAGTTAAAGCCATAATCTATAGAGATAATGCCATTACTAAACAAAACCAGGAGCAAATACCTTCAGCAAACAACCAGTCAGTGACAAATTTGAACCCAAAGCCCCATCCTTATATCCCCAACTACCACAGCCCTCCCTGGCATCTCTGCCTGCAAATAGACTTAAAAAAAGCAAAGCAGGTTTTTGCACCAGGCTTAGTGACATGCCAAGGACGCCTAACACCGTCTGTGTTAATGAGAATCTAATTGGGCATCCAAATCTGTGGCACAGCCTAGAAAGCTAAGCACTGTGGGTGATAACTCATTTGGCTTGAGGTGCTGCTGGCTGGCACCCAGCAGCAGCAGGCAGCACTGGAAGAGCTCACAGCCATGTGCCTTTCCCCAAAGGCATCTTCTCAATACCGTGGGAAGCCCAGGTGCCTCAAACACAACAGGTTCAGGGGAAGAGAAGCCACGTGTACCCCTTTGGAAATCCTACCCCACTCAGCAAATGGAGCACGAAGCACTGGGTACAGATAGAAATGGCTTATCCTCAAACCTGTTCATCTCAGCCCTACTCTGTAGGGTTGCATCCTTCTGTAGGCCACAAGCTCCTAAACCCCATTGCTATTATTTAACCGTCTCTTTGCTTTCTTTCTGGTGGCTGCCCCAGAGCTGGCAGTGCTTAGAAAGTCCTTTTCACAGAGAGAAGAGAATGTAAAATATGCTCAAGTACCTAAATAGGAAACAAGACTGCCATTCTGATCTACAAGAGATACCAGGAAATCACTTTACATTTCTTCCCCTTCCAAACCTGTCTGTGTTCCGCTGACTCCTGAATGTTAATGTTATTTATGACAAGTGATTGATGAGAAGGATGCAGAATTCACACCCGGCCACAGGGCATTTTCAAATCACCTATTCATTTTTAAGGACCGGAATCAGTTTTGCATCCTGACATGATTTATCATTTGGAGGTTGAGCAGCAGCTACGCAGGACCAGCTTCCAAGCACTGACAGAGCATCACCAGGCAGAAGGCAGCAGTGAGTGGTTAACCCTGTGAGGAGCGAGAAAAAGATCACAGGACACCAATAGGCAAACTATGTTGTCTTCCTGGAGCCTCCTCCTCTGCCAGCACATCAGATGCTCCTGCAGCCTTCAGATGTACAGGTCTAACCTAATAGCCACAGACACAGAGCTGTATTTCTGAAAGCAAAACTAGGCGTTTACCTTCTATACAGTTTGGCCTCATGCACGAGAAATGTTTACACCCAAGATGCTGTCATTGCAATGCACCTGAAAGAGATTAATGCAACATTTCCCCTCCAGTAGGCCTTTCAGCTCGCATGAGGCTCTGTGTCTGGAGCAGGCACCACAGACACACAGGCAGAGCAGCTAAAGGAAATCTCACCATGGTTCTCAGGAGAGATCCAGATCTGAGATTCTGGTTCCCTTCCCATGGAAATGTGCATTCCCTCAAGTTGTGGACGGGAAAAAGAAAAAGGAAAGATCGGGTATATGGGACAGGCCTGACAGCTGAGAGAAGGCAGAGCTTCCTTTACAGAAGCAGCTCTAAAAATGGGAATGATACATGCCTAGTAAAGACAGCCTGGATCATACATTTGATGCCAGCCTGCCAATGAAGCAGCCAAAGTTCAGCTGTGACACTGTGGCAGCCTTGTTACAGCCCTTTTCTTGTTCTTCAGAAGTTCCAGGTGGGTGCAGCCTCTCTCCTAAGCCAGGAGAAGAATTCAGCAGTGCAGATGGCAGAAGGCTGCCAACCAAGGTGACAAGTCTAGCTGTCCTCAGGACATTTAGTATCAGCCCAGCATCTCAGGAAGGTTGGTTAAGCTCAAGTTTGAATCAGGGAAGTTGCTTCAGAGGATGGGGCAGGAGACATGCCCATAAAAAAAGTCTAATTGGGGATGTCATGTGGAGGTGTCTTCAGATCTCTGGTCACTGCTGGGAGGAAGTCCTGTGACCCCTTCAAGGGGCAAGGATGGGCAGGGAGCATGGAGACGGCTGTTTTATCTGCCTGATTTCACAATGTACTGCATAACTGAACGTGCCTGAAGCCCCAGTATTTGCTGCCAGACTATTAGCCCAGTGGATCAAAAACCACTGAAGGACTGGGATGGACGTGCACACTTCTCACATATGCATCACCATGGCGTAAGCTTTGTTTCTTAGGAAACCAGACTAACAGTGCCTAGTGCCTCTGCTTTGGGGAAGAGCTGAACTCTGAGTGAGTTCTTCTGAGCCACTCTCTGCTCCCCACCCAGTGTGGTCACGCAGATCTCCAAGAGATCTATAAAGAGGTAAAGGAAACAGATGAAGAGGAAAGAGGAAACATGAGGAAATGTACTGTGGCTTCGTTTGATTTCCTTGGCACACCTTCAGGCAGGTCAAAGCAGATGTGTGCTGGCAGCCAGGGGTGGCCGCCATACAGCCTGTGTTAGGCACCAAGGGCTGTGGCTCTTTTTCGGGGTACCAGACCCACAAATACAAGGACTGAAAGGGCTGCTTTGAAATGATTTTTGGATCGAAACTTGTCCTACATCTACAGTGCCATTTCTCCATCCTCTGAAGACTTTCCTCAATGAAAATTTTCTACTTGTACCCATCCTGAGAACTCTTTTTTCCCCACCCCCTTGTTTTTGGGGCAGGGGGCTTATTTCTGCTTCATTCTGCATGGAGAGAGACAAAAAAAGAGTCAGACTGTCCTGGCTCTCTCCCTTGTCCTCTCTGTCGCATAGCCCCTTGTCTTTCAAAGTCTGGCAGAAGATGAAAAATGACTTCACACTGAAAACAATAATGAAGGCTTCCTGTGAAAAATAATCAACACTTGCTCTCCAGTGCATAGCCTGGAGGTTCTGCAGAGCAAGGAGCATCTCTATTGAGTGTTTCCAGAGCTCCCAATGCAGCAGAGGCTTGAACCATGAGCAGAACCCATCACAGTGATGGTGGCATTATCTAAGACAGCAGAAGCAGAGCGTTGCACATGAGGCCTTCCCCTCCTGCTTCCCCCTCCCAGCATCACAGGCTTCGTGGACACCCAAATTTCTTGTCAGATATGGCAACAGTTTCTCCCTCTCTCATCTACTACAGCATAAGATCAAACAGAGCAGTGCTGTTCACCCAAAGCATCCTGGTGCCCATGGAGGAAGGAAAAGGCACCAGGCAGAGATATCCATTCACACGTGACTGGTGGAGATGAGAAAGCTTGTGAAGATGGCAGGATCACTGAGCTCACCTTGCTCCTGACCAGGAATAGTGGTCAGAGCACCGCTTCCCAAGGAAATCAAACAAACCCATCTGTTAGAATCACAGAAACGTTTAAAGTCGGAAAAAACCTCTAAGATCAACTGATCCGATCATCAGCCCATCCCCACCATGCCCACTAACCACGTTCCTCAGTGCCGCAGCTACTTCTTCCTGCATACCCCCAGGGACAAGTGACTCCACCACCTCTCTGGGCAGCCTGTTCCAGTGCCTCACCACTGTTCCAGAAAATAAGTTTTTCCAACCTGAACCTTCCCTGGCACAAATTGACGCCATTAGCTATTACAGTTACCTGGGAGAAGAGGCCAACCTGCACCTTGCACAGTCTCCTTTCAGGGAGTTGTAGAGAACAACGAGGTCTGCTCTGATCCTCCTGTTCTCCAGACTAAATCCCAGTTCCCTCAGCCACTCCCCTTGTGCCCCAGACCCTTCACATCTCCACTGCTTTTCTTTAGACACACTGCAGGGCTCAATGCCTTTCTTGTAATGACACCAGCAGGTCACAAGCCAGCAGTGAGGGCCAGCTGCCTCCCACATCCCATGCCCTCGGTTGCAGTGCTCAGCTCCTACAGCAGCAATACCACTCACCATTTGGATGACAGACACAGGCCCAATGCTGTTCACATAGATATCCACATCGATAAATGTGGGCTTGACTGTAAAGAAAATAAAACAAGTGTAAGAGGGGCCAGAATCACTAGTGAAGGACTAGGGGGAGGTGTAGGCATGCAGCAGGGAGAAGAGAGCGGCTCCATCCGACCAAAAAGCCCAACTACAGCAGCCTCATTCTTTTAATGGAAAACCTGGGCTAGGTCACCACCCACTGCCAGGCTGCCCACGAGAGCTCAGGGACACTTACTGCCAATATCAGGCCTCAGCTTGTTGTCATAGTTCTTCAGCAGCAAGTTGAGGATCTGCGTGGCATCTGTCTCCTGTGCCTTGGGGGTGAGGACCCAGGTTTTATTGATGCTGAGGTAATCATAATCATACTCCTCTGTGCTCTCACACCTGGAGCAGAGACAAAAGAAACATCACTGTGAAATCTCTGTTGTCCTCAGTGGGAGTGGGGGCACAGCTGGGTTTCAGAGGCACTAAAGGGGAGGAGGAGGAGGAGGATGATGATCGGGGATCTCCTCTCAGCAGTACTGCAGAGATGACACACCTCTGCTCATTGCAGGGTCCCAGGAGCTTCAGCTGGGCTCATGGCTGCTGACACCTGGAGTGGGCATCTTTAGGGGAAGACAACAGTGACCAAACAGCATATGGGGCAAAAAAAAAAAAAAAAAAAGCATTTATAAAGAAAACACTTCAGAGATGAGGTCCTAAAGCTACCAAGCAGGCAGCACACGAGCCTGGCTCACCAGGCACACAGCCATCTGCCCTGCACAGATCCTGGGAAATTAAAGCCTTATGCAAACTCCTTTGACCTCGGGCCATGATCTGCCACAACCCATTCCCTGCCCACCAACCCTTCCTCTCCACTTAAAGATGGGAAAAGTGGAATATCTTTCAGTTTCAAGCCAGCATTTGTCCTCCTTTGGATACATTGCACCGAGCAGCAGTTTCTCCCCATTGCTATCAAAAATGCCCTTTCTAAACATGTCGTACCTCCCCTTTTCCTAAAGGAGTTTTCCTACCCCCATCTAATTAAATTAGGCCCACGTGGTCACAGGGAAAGAACAAACCACCCACCACCACTCTGGGCAGCTCAATCACGACGCTGTCCTTACAGAATACACAGCCATACAGGTGAGAGGATGCCGAGAGATCCTACATCCCACCCCGCTCATCATCTGCCGTGTCAGCACTGCGGTGCCAGGCAGGGACTCAGCAGGAGCTGCCTGCTGCTGACACCTCCCAGCTGGAGCCCACAGCTCCGAGGTGTGAGCGGGCACCTCCCTGCACGGCTGCCTTCAGAGCCAGGCAGATGATGAGGGGAAAAAAAGTGTTACGCTGACGTGTTGCCATTCATTTATTAGAAGCTCCTCTTTTAAACCCCTGATGAAAGTTGCTTTCACAGCCACTCTGACTCCTTGGCGTCTCCTCAGCTTTCAGGTGCTGGAAAGCCTCTCCCAGCAGGGCTGGGCTGTGTGCGGCTGCCTGCCTGCCTCTGCACGTTAGGTGCTGCTACATCAGCTCCTTGTTCCCTGTCTGATTGTGCGCTGCGCTTCCTAACGAGGCTTAAGGAGTCTTAAGCAGGGCTGTCAGGTTGTGCTTCCCTACCCAAGCTGCAGCAGTGCCAACTCGCTGCCTTTCAACTGCAGCCCAGGGGCAGCTCTGCAGTCCTAGGGTTGCACCCACCCCAAACCTGGCTCCTGGGGACAGGAGGGACATGGAGGGATATTTCTCTGCCCACAGCCCAGCAGGGGAGAGTGAGCCCAGCTGCTTTCTTTGCTGCCTTCAGTGGAGTGGGAACATAGCAAAATCTCATGTCAGTGTTCCCTTGACCCTGCTGGGACCCATCCCTGGATACATCACCCACTGGCACTCAGCCCTCCTGCATCCCCTTGCAACCCAGCTCTTGAATCTCTAGGGCAGTGGCTAAGCTCTAAATGTCCCCATGGGCTAAACCAGGCCAAGCTGCATACCCTGACCTCAGCTTTCTGGCTTTCCCCATTTTGCACTGTTGCTGAACACCCTGTGATTTGTGGTAGGAGCCACTTCCATATTACAGATGCAGTGACACTACCAAAAATATTTTTTTCCTTTTTTTTTCTTCTTCTCTTTTTTTTTTTTTTTTCTTTTTTTCCCTAATGCAGCTAATCCTGGGCTACTAAACCACACTAAGCCATTTTAGTATAAGCAAGCCAGCTTTTGCTGGAGAAAATATGCTTTCGGTGAATGCATGTAAGAAACACAGAGCAGCTCTTCACGGCCAGATATGACTCTGGTGCCGCTCTAGAGCCCCCGCCCCAGTGGCCCCAGTGGCCCCAGTTCAAACCACGAGGGAAGAGCTCAGGAGCTATTGCAGAGGACAGGAGCTAAGGGATGGAGGCTGTGCATGTCCCACTCCAGCTGCAGATGGGAATGTCACACCGCAAACCTGCAGCAATGCCCAATGCTCCTGTGCACAGTGCTGTCCCTGTGTCTCTGTCTCCTCACACAACACGGCTTTGGCTGGGTGACAGGGGAAAGCCAGCTCCCATATGTCTCCGTGCAGCCAGGAGGAAAGGCAGAGCCACATTTCCTCACCTCTGCTTGTGGAAATGTCAAAACAGCCACCTCACAGCACTGCTGCTCACAGCCACAGGGTGCAGCTGGGAGCGCAGAGATGAGGACAGCAGCACAGGAGGGCGTGGGGACACCGCAGGGCAAAGCTGGGGACCTGCAGGGAGTCCTGCTCTGAGCAGGCAGCATGGCTGGGAAGTGTCCTGTCTGATTGCCCACGTGTACAGATGGGATTGGACAACCCTCCTTGGGCAACCCTGGGCATTACTGCAGGACACTGCCAGTTGTTTCCCTCCCTTATTCTGCTTTACTTGAGCAGGCACCTGTTTTGCTGAAGTTCCCAAGCATACTGATGGGCAGATTAAAAGCAGGGCCAGCTAAGTAGTTCCCAGCAGGTGCGTTCCCAGGTTGCTGAGTATTTGCTGCCCTTCTGCCCCTTTGCTGGGGATCTCAGCTCTGTCCTGCCCTGGTGCTCCCCATGGGCTGGGGAACCGCAGGGAGACCAGCAGAACTGAGTGCTTCTCCCAGCTCTGCCATGACCCTGTTCAGCAGCCTTGGGTGCGCTGACAAAATCTGGGGCTGCTAGCATTTCACACTAAAAGCTGCCACCACTGGAGTGCTGATGCCTGCCCTGCACACCATCCCCAGTCCTGAAGCAGAGATGTCCAGAAAAAGGTGGCTGACCCCAGGCTGTGAGTGTCCCACCCCTCTGAGAACGCAGCTCAGTGCCTCGCCTGCACCACAGGAACAGACAGCAACACAGTGCAAGGACATTTCACCTGGATGAAACAACACTGCGCTCAATCCCAATTACTGCATGCTAATGTGTCCTTGTCACCCATCCCAGTGCTTCCAAGGGCTTGTAGGCATGGGAACATTCAGGGAAATTAATCTAAATTAGAAGTAGGCAGAGAATTTAGGGACAGGGGGCTCACTGTACTCGAACAGTACTCGATCTGTTGCACCTGTCATTGTACCTCTCCTTGCACAGCACACCCACTGAAGCCTGCACTGTCGGTGCCAGCTTTCTGGATGTGTAACACTGTGCTGGATACACTTCCAGGGCTCTGAGCTGGATGCCTGGTCCCAGCCAGGCATTGCCATGGGAAATGCTGATGGGGAAATGGCCTGGGGAGTGCTGAGTCACAGCACAGAACATCCAGCCCACCCTGCACCAGGGTCTTACAGTACTTGCTGAGACGAGAGCTTGTACACACTGCATCTGATCTGAGCTCATCACCCGGACACCCCCTGTAAACATAGGGCCGCCTGCAGCCAGAAAAATGCAGTGAGTGCAGGATGAGACCCAGAGGTACGGCTTGCTGCTTTACTCCTCCTTCTCCCATAGTCTTCCTCTGTTACTCCATCACCCTCACACCAAGCACAGCCACTTCTTGCAGCTCAGTGAAGAAGTAGGTACTGGCAGCAGGCAGAAGGGAACCTGGGCCAGCCATAGGGTACAGCTTCTCAATCGAGGGCACATGAATACATAACTTAACATCACCTCCATGCAATTTTGCAGCCTGTCCTCTCCAAGCATAGCACGACAGGAACCGCGATCACCACGGGTCCCTTTCAGCCCTGAACACCCAATTAGAGCCTGGGTGCCAGGCATGAGCTGTGGGGCTGCTCTCTCAGTCTCCGTGCTGGCATGGCCGGGCTATGGAGGACAGCAGCAGGGACCGACCTGCCCACCCTGAGACCAGGGAGTCTGGCAGAGGAGACCATCAGTAGCAGGATTCGTGCTCCCTGCCCCTGACTGCATTTGTAATGGGATTTGATCGGCTTTAAGGCGGCTTATTCTGTCAATTAGCTTCAGCCAGTGAAATCCCTCTTTTCTCGAGCCCCGGGGGCAACAATCTGCTGACATGTTCCTCCCCGATCTAGCCATTAAACTCACCAGAGGGGATAGCGATTGTTAAAACGGTAATAATGACTAAATAAATAAATAAATAAATGAAATTAAAAAGGAAGAAGAGAAAAAAAAAAAAAAAAAAGAAAAAGAAACTTGAAAAGCCCTCGTGCGCGGGGCCTTTCACTGCTGTTTACAGAAAGGCGCTACGAAGCGCCGGCACTGGGGTAGAGCCGTGCCCGCGGCCCCCGCCTCCGCTGCCCCTTCGCCCCGATCCGCGCAGCACCGCGCTCCAGGACCGACACCGGGGCCAACCTGTGGAGCGGGGCAGGGCCCGAGCCGTACCCTCCCGACAGGTGCCGAGGGACGGGGGGCAGCGGAGGGGCCCCGCGCTGCTTTCCGCCCCGCGCAGCTCCGGGTGGAAATGCTCCGGTGATGCGCGGAGCGGCCGGGAGGTGCCGAGCTTCCTTCGGTCGCCCCCTCCAGAGCTCAGCCCTCGGCGGAATTCGGCCGGAGAGGGGATGGCGATGTGGGGAACGGGGCGTCCCCTCGATTCGGGGCGTCCAAAATGGGGACCCGAAGCGCAAAGGCACCGCGCGGGCACGAAGCGGCGGGACGCGGAGCCTCGAGGCGGGCTGCCAGGAGCCGCGGGGGCACGGCGGTGCCCAGACCCCCCGCTGAAGCCGCCCCGCAACTCCAGCCTCCTCCTCGCCCATCACTCCGACGGGAGACTGAGGCAGCGGGCGTCCGGCCGGCGGGGTGCTTACCTGGCAGAACGCAGCGCCGGCCCTAGGGCCAGGCAGAGCAGCAGGACCATCGCGGGCATCTCGGCGAGGCGAGGGCCGGCTCCGGGCTTGGGGGGAGCGGCGGCGGCGGCGGGACCCCCCCGATACCCGCTGCGCCGCGCTCCAGCCCCGCCGCCTCCCGCCCGGCTCCGCGCCGCCGGGGAGGCAGGGGAAAGTTGGGCATCTCTTCTGCGAGTCGGCGGCGGGCGGAGGAGGGGCTCCGCGCAGGGTCCTAGCTCCCCGCGAGGGGCCGCCTCCCGCCCCCAGAGGGCCGGGCGGCAGCGGGGGGGCTCCTCGGAGAGCCCCCGTCACACAGCTGTCGGCACCGCGCCCCGGGAGCCCACAGCGGCAGCTGGCAGCGGGCTGGTTCTGCCCCTCTGCGGAACGGGGGGGTGGCGAGATCCTCGCCTTATTGCTTTTAGTGCATAGAGATTTCTTCTTCTCCATTTATTTTAGTGTTTTATTTTATTTTATTTTTAGAGCGGGTCATCGTCATAAAAAAAAGGAAAACAAAAACGCAAGGCATATGGTGTTACAGTGGGTCCTCTTCCACCTGTTGGGCTGCTGCCCTGTGAAAACAAGCTGTGAGATGCATGAGGGGCTGAGGTTTTTGTTCTGCTGCTCCTCGCTCCTGCTCTCCTGGTTTGCCAAGCATCTCGGGTATTATTTTTGCTGCTGGCATTCTCCTTGTAAACAGGAGTAACAGATTCCTTCTTGGCACATTGTAGGTCCAAGTTACTGGGAATCAACTTTGTAACAGCTACATGCAAGAAAAATAATTATCCTTCATTAGTGGTAACAGCTCATGACACGCAGGAGCCTATTCCTCAAAGGGCCTGATCCTGACTCTTGCAGAGATCACAGAATCACAGGGTGGCTTAAGTTGGAAAGGATCTCAAAGCCCACCCAGTTCCAACCCTCTGCCATGCCTCCCACCAGCTCAGGATGCCCAAGGCCCCATCAACCTGGCCTTGAACACCTCCAGGGATGGGGTGCCCACAGCTTCTCGGGCATCAGTGCCAGTGCCTCACCGCCCTCTGGTAAGACCACAAATTGGAATTTGATGCCATCTGATGAACTGCCACCGTGGGCAATGAGTTCCCTCAGCTCTGCCATAGCCTTTCCCTCCCAGACACAGGAAAATCTCTTCTTCCTTCCCCACTGGTAGCATGTTGGTAACCACTATTTCACTGACTCAGTTTGGCAGGACAGGGGTGTGTCATTTCCCTGTGCTCACTCCATGTCTTCCAGCCAGGACCAGTCTCAATGGAGATGAGAGGGGCTACAGGAGCACAGCAGTAAATAACAGCAGGGCACCCAGGAGATTTTGCAAGGCTCTTCCTACGCAGGCTCTCCCTTGCTGATTCTTGCAGTGATCACCTCAACCCTCAAGCATGAGATCTGAGCAGCATCAAAGCCATAGGAGGCAGCTGCAAGCATCGCAGCTCCAAGATGGAATTTCCTTGTAACTGAGCAGCTGCAGCTGATGTTGCTTTTAGTGCATGCACAGAAGCCACTCTGGGATGATGGATTTATAGGAAGCACATGTCAAAAGAGTAAATAATGAAAATCAAAGCAACAGCGAAGGTGAAAAGAGCTCTTTCAACTTCAAAGCAAGGCACCAGATTGCCCCAGAAGTCCTTCAGGGACCCAGATGAAGCTGAAGTAGGGAAAAACGCAACAGGAGGATGCAGCTGTTGAGTAGTTGTGGGCTTGAACAGATCACAGAAAATCCAGGGGTTCATGCATGTGCTCTCAGCTCCCCCTCAAGACGCAGGATGTGAAGTGGTACGTGTGGAAATTCATAGCACCAATTTGTTTGACCATCTCTTCTGCTACATGAGAATGGAGACCTGGGGCAGCACGGTGCCCACAGAGCTGGGGATGGCCTGAGCAGAGGCTGGGGAGAAGAGCGTGCTGCTGTTTTGGGGACATATGCCCTTTCAGGTGGTTGTATGCACTGGGAGCACTGAGCAGCTGCCTGTCCTGCTCTTCTTCATCTGTGGTGGTTTCTTCATTCAATTGCTCTATTACTTGTGCCTAAGGTAGGGATGAAGCATGCTGATGCTGTGCATAGGAGAGGAAGGAGAGAGCACTGCCTTTCCAACACCTGATTTACCAACAGTGCAGGCTCAAGCAGGAAGAAGCCTCTTCAAATTCACAGTGAATGGTTTTGAACAGAAAAGAAACAACGCTCAGACTGAATGCTGAGAAGCACAAAATGTCCTGCACCAGCGAGTTGGGAGGAAACAATCCCTGTTCTCCACTTAGAAGAGACATTTGTTTTGAGGTCTTCTGTTGTGGGATTATCCGAACTTAAACAGAAGATGAAATGTTTCATTCAAGTAGCTTTTCGTCCCTTCTGGTATTATGGTTTAGCTGGCAAACTGATAAAACCAATTATTTACAGAGTCCTCACGAACACAGAGCCCAGGGGACTCTGCTGCCACAATGAATGAGGCTTTGCTCGTGCTCTCCTCACTGCCTGCGCAGGGGCTGCAGAAACAGCGCTGGGAGAAGCAGAGGCAGCTCCAGCCCTGTGCCTGGTCTCCTACGATGCAGAGCTAGCGGGATTCTCGTGGGAGCCGCCCCATAACCCCGTGCAGAGCCCTGTGCAAATCTAGGCACACGTGCAGCACCTTCTGAATTGCGCCGGTCTCCCTCCGAATCTCCTTTGCAGTGTCAGCCGCGCAATCTGTGCTGCGGCGCAGGGGAGGCGGAAGGCAAAGCGCTCCGCTCCGCAGCGCTCGGGGCGCGGGCAGCACCATGGACAGCGGCCGCTCCTCTGGGCTGCGCTGAT